TATTTGTTGTCTGTACTGCCCATGTACCTCTCTATGTCTTTCTCATCCTCAATGCTGCCATATTGGTCACTCACATTTGGTACATTGTCCTTCTCTTCACCCAAATCAATATTTATCTCTAAGAGATAATTTTTAAAAAGAAACAGCAACAACAAAAATCACACAACACTGTCTGGTTTTAGAATATGTATTTGGGACACCAACCTGAAGGCAAAGACAAATTATTTATGCAGACATAAGACCAAGTAAAATAACAAAACTAGATTCTAAACACCCAATTTGGAAACTTTAAAAGCTATTTAGCTTTCCTCGAGTCTATCCTCTGATGAAAAACTTGCTCCTCACTTCATTACAAAAATGGACATCCTTAATTCTCAAACTACTGAAAGGTACATAAAGCAGAACTCAGCTATATATATTTAAAAAAACTGCTGATGGATAACTTTCCTGGTTAGTTAGGGAGATAATTAAGTCTAACAGTTCCACAGAAAGTTGAAGCAAACTGATTTATATTATCAGATTTAATTAAGCAGCATAGAGTAAAATAAACATAATTTTTCAATTTTCAATTGTTTTATAGAAAATATTAGGTTATAATATTTATAGATGAATCGTGTGTCTCTCTCTGCGTGTATGTCTATAAAAGCAGTGATGACTATATATGTTCTACAAGTGTGAGATTTTTTGTAACATCACCTTAAAGCATATTCTCCTGCTACATAAAATTCTTAAGAAAAAAAAATATGAAAGGAACTGGGAGTACAAAGTCCTGAACTGATAAAAGCTGAGCACATATATTTGTGCAAGCATGCCAGCATGTAGTCTCAATTACTTAGAGACCAAATAATTTAACAGCAACTATGAGGAAGAACCTAGGTAAGGTAAACAAACAAAAAAGCAGTATCAAATTATCTGCCATTCACATTTATTATATTTTAAATATCAACAGTCTAAAAATAATGGTTACAGCTATTTTTTAAAAATTCATCTTAGGCTAGTTAGCAGATAAATAAGTGATGGCACATAACAACAACAACAACAATATTACATTTACAGTCCCAACTTCAGCTTATGGTACAATAAAGGTTTTAAGAAATGTTTTAAAGTATATTAGGTGAAAATGCACAATTTGTCATAAATAATGTGTTTATTTTGTCCCTCCAACTTTATTACTATCGAGTTTCATTCTCTGTACCTCCTATATATCCAGTATTCCCTCCTACCCTTGTCATCATCTTTAACATCTTCGTATTTATTCTAATTTTTACTATTTCATTATCATGTTATCTCAAATTATCTTCTAAAGTTTTTATTCATGGATTTAAAATACAGAATTTAACCCTATTTTCACCAGTAACTGCTGGATTTACATTGTCTTACTTCAACGGCAAAATACTTTAGCCCTGAAAAAATTTATTTTCTCCAATACAAGTTAGGACATGATCTAAATTAGATTCTTTCTACTCATTTAAAATTGCTATCATCTCTTAATTTTTACTGGTGCATTATTTTTCTCTTCAAGTTGATTACTGTTACACATTATCATTTTACAATCCATTTAAAAAAATCTGGCAAAAATCACAAAGCAATTATCTGAACTAAATTATGATGTAAACTCAAAATTAAGAACATGAAATAACAGTAATGATCACTTGCCGTTCAGTGTGGTAACAAAAAAGCATTACCATCCACACAGTTCTCCTTTTCTACAAAGAGAATGCATAAACCTCTGATTTCTATTTGGGAAACAAACAAATCTAAACCCTATCTTCTTATCTAGAAATGGATTATTTTAAGAAAGGCAAAACTCATTACGCTCAGTGTCATTGGCAGCTAGAGACCACTGAGGTACAACAGATAAAAGTTTACTATTACAATTATAATGTACAAAATAAATTTGGCAATTTTAAAGCTACACATTACTTACACTATTACACAAAAATAAGCAGTTCTGTTATTAACTAGTGCTCCAGTAACAAATATAAAATCAAACATGAATTCAAATCAGCTGTTATCCAGAAAGCACAATCAAATGCAAAATGAAAACAATTAAAAAGAGTCAAATGTCCACATAACATTACCTATGATAAGGAGTGCTAGGTTCATCTATTTTCATTAAACCATAGTCTTTGTCTGCTGGATGATAAGTCGCCAGGATGTTCATTTCATCCCACTTCTGGGATTTTTTACTGAAAAAGAAAAAAATTGTCCCTAATGCATTGAAAGACCAAAAATCTGCACATCAAAAATTCAAAAACATCCAAATTTCACATTTCAATGAGTATTTTTACATATATTTTTTTGGAATTAAAACCAATTTAGAGTAAAAGCCGTAAGCTATTACAATAAACTGCCAGTAAATATTTTATAGACTATTTCCCTTGTTATTGAAAACACCGTATTTAGAACCTACATCAGGCATTCAAAACACTCTAACATGCTTAGCCTTCATCTGGCCCTCCAGAAGTAACAGTAAAATCACGAAAATCTGAACACAGCTTGATCTCAGTGAGCTCTGGTAGCATAGTGGCTAAAGCACTTGACTGCTAACCAGAAGGCTGGCGGTTCAAACCCACCAGCCACTCCTTGGAAGGAAGGTTGGGCAATCCTACTTCCGTAGTGATACTGCCTCGGAAACCCAAGGAGGGGTCGCTATGAGTCGGGGCCGACTCGACGGCACATAACAACAACAACAACACAACACGGATACTTCTTTGGCCTAATTTCTTCTGGGATATCTACAATGACTATCTGTAATAATCAAAAGAGTCAGAATATAAAACTTCTGGGGAAATCTCATTAAATTCAGATACCATTAAATAATCAGGTTGCAAGAAAAACTGTAACTCAGTTTTTTCATCTAGAAAAATAAGGGTTTACTAAGAAATAGTGTATTTAAATACATAGGGAGACTCTGGGAGACACAAAACTGGCCAAAATCACAAAACAATGACCTAAACTACATTATGTAAGTTCAAAAATATGGACATGAAGCAATAATATGACCACCTGCCTTTAAGTGAGGAGCTCTGGTGGCATAGTGTCTAAGGCATTTGACTGCTAAACAGAAGGCTGGTGGTTCAAACCCACCAGCCACTCCTCGGAAGGGAGATTGGGCAATCTACTTCCGTAGAGATACTGCCTCGGAAATGCAAGGAGGGAACGCTATAAGTTGGATCTGACTCAATGGCAGTGAGTTTGTTTTTTTTGTTTGGACTTTAAGTGAGTTTCTTTGTTATGTTGAAAATAAAACTGCTTTAAAAAGAAAGAATCATGTAGATTTTACACCGATTCTGCGATTCTGCATTTGGCGAGGTTTAACTACAAATAATACCAATACTCAGATCCTGAGATGCCCTTAAAGAGTGACAAATTTTCACCTTAAAAATTACATGTGCCCACTGATGGTAGCTAAAGCTGTTTCTTGTTTTCTACCCTGATGGACCCACTGGGTCCCCATTTCAGGTAAGCCACTTTTGACTGTAACTTCCTTTCAAGATGTACCCTTTGTTTTCTCAAGAGGCAAGGGTAAGTTGGCCCTGACAGACATTCCACAAGTGACCAAGACTACAACTCTCACTCTTCCCCAAAGGTGCATAGTTGTCTAATGTCTCTTCACCTTGAAAGTCAAAATTTTAAAAACCTGTAAGAAATTAAAAATCAAGATGTATAGATCATTAATTTTAACTACGGAAACTGGATTTCGTTTTTAAACACTTGGCTTTTTATTTACTTGACATGGAACTGATCTGGATACCCACTCAATTCATCTGATGTTTCAAACTAATAAATTAAAATGTTACCAGTATTTTTTTAAAAAGTCACTTGATCAAACTAGACTGGGTTTGTTTTATAATACTGATTTCTTTAGATGTCTAGCTTCTGGCTGTGTATGATAATAACAGCTGCCTTGTGGAGGAAGAAAGAACTTAATTAAAAGACCGACACTTAAAGTTAACTTTCACTAGACTTGTGACTGTAATATGCAAGTCCAATAAACATCCTCTCTTGGCCTATTTTTATTCTATATGGAAATTATAATAAAATTGAGTATCAATAACAGTCCTTACTTTATAGCTGTTGAGAGAATTAAGTGAAATGTCTGTGAAACCAAATTTAAAAACACCATACAAATATAAGCTGTTTTTGTAATTTAAAAATCCAAAGTTTCAGATTAAAAGTCCTGAAACAAGATCCCATTATTATAGAGAATGATACAGATAAACCACTCTGAGAAAAGTTTAAACTGCTTTTGCACTGAATTCCTTCTACTTTTCTTCCACGAGACTTGAAATTAGAAATACTTAGGAGCTCTGGTGGCTTAGTACCTAAGGCTGCTAGCCAGAAGGCTGGTGGTTCAAACCCACCAGCCACTTACTCTTCAGAAGGAAGACTGGGCCATCTACTTCCGCAGGGATACCTCCTTGGAAACCCAAGGAGGGGTCAACTATGAGTTGGATCCGAATCAATGGCAGTGAGCTGTGTTGCGGTGAAAACATTTAAGAGATGCTACAGAATGAGGATATCTAAAAAGTAATCAGTTTTGTACATTTGATAAACCTAGTTTTAGAAAATTTATTTGCTATATAATAATAATTGTTGTTGTTATATGCCGTCGAGTCGGACCTGACTCATAGTGAGTGACCCCTCCTTGGATTTCCGAGGCAGTATCACTACAGAAGTAGATTACCCCATCTTCCCTCCGAGGAGTGGCTGGTGGGTTTGAACCACCAGCCTTCTGATTAGCAGTCAAGTAGGAGCTATATAATAGGTGTAGTGCCTAAGGCACATGACTGCTAACCAGAAAGCTGGTGGTTCAAACCCACAAGCCACTCACTCCTCAGGAAGGAAGACTAGGCCATCTACTTCCATAGGGATACTGCCTTGGAAACCCAAGGAGGGGTTGCTATGAGTCAGAACCAACTCAACAACAGCAGTTTGTTTTTTTTTTAAGATCTATTATATACAAATTTCTGTACCTCTAGAAAGCAAATGATTAGGTTCTAATCATGGTTATATTCTATAAAAGGAATCTCACAGTGAAAAACAATTTAAGAAGATAATAGAAACGATCAAGGAGTTTCTGATTAGTAGGATAATGAAATAAAAGGGAATAAGCTTTAAGAGAAATAGATTTTGTGAAGAAAGCAATCCAGTTAATAAACAAAAAGAGACCCAAGATACCATAATGAAATATCTGCCCCCCTCCAATAAAACAATGCCTGGGAAATGACCCCCAGTGTTCAGTCTGACTCAGAAATAGGAAAACATAAATGAAAGTTTCTTAAAACCTGTATTAATAGACAGTCCTTTTAAGATTTCTTATTAAAGATACTACAAAAGAAAACTATGAGTCCTTGATGGAAGAAATGGTTGACATGCTCAGCTGCTAAACAAAAGGTTGGAGGTTCGAGTTCACCAAAGATGTCTTAAAAGAAAGTCTTGGCGCTCTACTCCCTCCCCACAAAAACTAGCCACTGAAAACCCTGTGGAGCCCAGTCCTACTCAGACACACAGGGGTGGTCCTGAGTTGGAATCTATGGCAACTGCTGTGTTTTTTAAAAAGAAAACTAGCACATCTCCACTTAGATGAAGTTCCAAAGCAGGAAAAACTGATGTACAAGTAGGTGATTACCATAAAAGTCAGGTTTCTATTAGCCAGGAGGAAGAGACTGCAACTGGAAAGGGCAGGCACACTTCTGAGGTGATAGAAAAGTTCTCTTTCTTGACCAGGGTAGTGATTATATGGCTGTTTGTTTTATAATAATCTCTTAAATTTTATATTTAACACACTTTTCTGTATGCATGTAACATAATATTTAAATCAATAAATATTTAAATCAATGCCCTTGTTGAATGCTTTCTAATCTCAAAATAAAACAAAAAGTTCCTTCCTAAATAGTGTTAACAATACTGAATTTAAAATGACAATTTATCAACACTACTGGTTAGGATAGAAAAAGAATGAAGGTGGACCTTTGGAGTTTAAAAGATTTATCTCTTTTCGGGGGCACCCAACATTCTTTAACTGTTTTGCAAAATAATGACAGAAAGAAAAAACTACAGGACACAGCAGGAATTATCTTATCATAAAATCTGGAATAAATCTAATCACAATCCCAGCATCCTATGCAATTAACAATTTTCTTTTCTCCATTCTTTCCATTGTGCATAAAATACATATGAAAATACAGCAGTTATCAGTATACATATTTTATTGTAATAAACTGCTGTTTTCTAGTCTTTATCTTTAAAAAAATTTTTTTTATCTTGGTAAAACATATTCAGGTAGCCCTAAACTTACAACAGGTTTCTGCTGTGACAAGTCTAGCATAAGTCAGTTATGACATAAGTCAAAAACTTCATTTTCATTATTATTGCCTTTTATTATCAGTATCTTTATTAATCCAGCAATGTTTTTAACAGTAAATCATAAAACTGAATATGTGAGGTCGCCATTTAGAGGAACTAGGGGACTGGAGGCACCCAGTGAGAGAGATCTGTACAGATGCCACCCAATGAAAATCTGTACAGATGCCAAGTAGACAAGGGGTGGAATTGTGCTAGTTCAGTTGGTGTGTCAACTTGGCTGGGCCTGGCTGAGTGGCTGGGCAGCTGGATGTAGTATTCCCCATGATGAGACTGGTAATCAACTCCATGGTGGAATCCACTGTGAGCAGCTAAGACTTAGGGAATGTGGTCTGCTTCCTGTATAAAAGCAGAAGCCTTGGGGAATGGTCTCTAGCTTATGGCACGCTTGGACCCTGCATGTAGCTGTGTCGTTGTTCAGCAGCCTGCCATGCTCTGGTGACTTTGGGACTTTCAATGGACTTAAATTTGCCTCAGCAGGCAGGAGCTGTCTGAGTGAAGAGATGCCTCTAGCTTCAGTGGGCCAGGAACAAGAGGCAGAGCTGAAGCCCAAGGTCAAGGGGCTTTCACACAGCCCCTAGGAGCCTGGCACTTTAAACTTGGACTTAAAGCCTCCAAATTGTAAGAATAAACTCCTGTTTGTTAAGGCCATCCCATTTGTGGTATATTCTTGTCAGAGTGGCACTAGGTAATCAGAACAATCAGTATCTTTATTAATCTAGCAATGTTTTTAACAGCAAATCATGAAGCTGAATATTTGCAAATGAACATCTGAGAACAGTAACATCAGCAAATTATGCACTGAAACATATTACTAATG